TATCTTTTTACTCCTATTTACCAAAGTGTGAGAACAGGTAAACCCAACAGAGTGTGAAACAGTGTCTGACACTTCACAAACATTCAATAAGTAACCTGATAAGGAGTTGCTATGGCTTGATGCTAGTATTGTTGCTACTAAGCCCCCAATTAGGCTTATTAGGGGCATTAATATGGACCTTTTCAATAAGATGCTGAGTAGGGCACTCTGAAAATTGTGTTTCAAAAAGTTTAAAATAAGAAAAAGAAACTTTTCTAGTCCAGCACTGCTGACGAATTGATGGCACCCTAACAACAGTCCCTCAACACACTTACTCATGTGGCAAAAAATAAGATTTGGCCACATAGGAAGACACTTATGACATACTTTAATGACTTGAAACTCTCATTAAAAAATAACATTATGATAATCAAACATATTCCCTTCATAGGACTACTATTGCTTTCATGTATTATGAACACTCCGTTTGGGACTAAAACAAATAGAATGTCACAGCATGGAAAGAGAATATTTATAGTTCTTTGGCCCCCAAGTTTTACCTGTGAATGTGCTGACTTTATACAATATAGTATTTTAGTTAAATGGTGAGAGTATTATGCAGCAGCTTAAGATGCATAGGAGGTGCCACTGGTGTCATAGTTGGCAATTGGAGCTGCTGTGGAGATGAAAACTGAAAAACCAGGGGTTTTCATTACTGTTTTCTATTTTTGAGAAATAACTGTACACTTATTCTTGATGACCTTGCCAGTTAAAAATAAAATATCTATTACTATTGCTTCTTCTGAACTTCTTTTAGAAACAAAGTTTTCATTATTTACATATAATAGTCTTGCCTACTTAATTATCATTTATTTTCAGTTCCTTTACACAGGCCTCTTGAGAATAGCTCTTCTTAATAGTGAGCTAGAACTAAATACCAATCAGCAGATGTCACTCCTTAAGTGATCCTCTTCAGTTTGTTTATTTCAGTTATCCTTTTTTTCAACTGCCTTTTCTCCATTGCCAATTCTATTTTCCTTTTTCTTGGAGATAGGTTCCCACTCTGTCACCCAGGCTGGAGTGCAGTGGCGCGATCATAGCTCACTGTAACCTCAAACTACTGGGCTCAAGCAGTCCTCTGCCTCAGCCTTGCCAGTAGTTGGGACTACACCTGGCCCCCATTTTCCATTTTCAACCTCTGATGAGCCTCCAGGAGCCAGTAGGTCTAACAACCATAATACAAGGTATTCTGTCTTTTTGAATGGCAGCTTCAATACAAATATCTGTGTGGTTTACAGTAACCACATCAGATATTTTTCTACTCTGCAACTGTGCTTTTGTAGCAGAGATACACCTGTTACATTTTTTTTTTTTTCCTGAAGAAAAGCACAAGTTTTAGTTCATAAGACAAACACTGGCTAAAATGTGCCACTCTTAACAACATTAAACAAATATTTATTGATCATCTACCATATACTAAGCACTGTTGTGGAGATTCAGCAGTTACAAAACTGATAAAAAGTCTTCAAGGCTGTTCTATTCTAGACAGACAAAGCAAAAAATAATTATAATATATTATGGTTTGGATGCTGATAAGTACTCTGGAAAAAGAGTAGGATAAAGAGCAGGAAAAGCCTAGGGGAGCTTACGATTTTTAAAAAAGTGTTCAGGAAAGCTCTCATCATGAAGGTGGTGACATTTGAGTAAAGACCTGATGGAAATGAGTCAGCAAGCCGTGTGGATATCTGGACAAGAACCTTTCAGGCAGAGGGAACACCTTGTGCGAAGGTGCACGTAGGCTGTCACAAGCAGTGAGGAGTTTAATTTAAGCATCTGCCAGGGACAAAAATTCAGTCAAGGCTTTTTTGCGGTTGTTGCTATTAGGAATCAATCTACAAGAGAGTTTAATCAGCTTAAGATGAACATCAGTGCAGATCTGTTTAGTGTTCTCTCCCAGCCATGACCTCATTGCAAATACTGACAGCCTGGACTGCCTCTCAGATTTGGATGGGCCTTGGATGCTCAGCCAGGCAAACCCAGATGGAGCTAGAAGTGGAGGGTTTTGGTAGCTCGGTGGGCTCTGTGGCTTCTTCGTCTTATGATCTCTCCACATGGGGCTGCATATAAATCATATGTAACCAATGATTCCAAGTTTTAATTTAACCTAAAATGTAGTCTATTACCATATTTGCACTAAGAAGTAAATATAACAGGATTCTACCTCAGATTAGCTAATGGTAGATCCTTGTCCCATAGATAGCCACGGCATGGGGCTACTGAAACAGAAGGATTTCTCATGCCACTAAATTGTGCCTTCAATTTTGTCTTCTTTACACAGGACAACATAGTAAGAGGTCAATGTTAACCTTAAGCCTTACATAGGATTTTCAGAGATTGTTACACTTACATTCAACCAGTATGGAAAATCGGCACTAGGCCTAACTACCCCATAGCTAGCATAATAGCATAACAATGCTCTTCTAGCCTAGCAATCCACATCTCATTCTAGGGGGTTTCCAATTTACTAAGAACATTTTCCTAAAGCTTCTATATATCCTTGGAGCTTACTATCATTCTCAATAAGAATAAAGTATTATCAAGAACCCAACAAATGGACATTTGAAAGCAGGCACTGAGTTTAATTTATTTTAGGCCACCTTTGATTTGTTCAAAGCCTATATTCCTTAAATATGAAGATCGGTACTTACTTCATGAGAATAAAGGTTTAAGAGACAACTAAGGTTTCTATAGCAAAAAGAAGTGACTGAACTTCTAGATTGGTCATAATGACTTACCAGTAACTGATAATAGTGTTTTAAGATCATACTAATTCGGTTTCTCTGTGTGGATTATTTAGATTTGCTTTAGATGTCTAAGTCAGCTGTGGTAGATTTAAACAAACACAGAAAGTCCTTAAAATATGACTAGATATGTTGTTTTAGATCCAAATTAGATCCAATTGATCATTGTGATTATGACCAAGTATAAATTTAGAATTATTGTAACCTAATATGTTGAGGTCGTTCCACAAATATATTTAGGAGTAGCTAGAGATGACATTTCTATAATGCAACTATGCTGTAATCAAAGCAACAACTCAGAAATGTACCTGCATGTAAAATAAAAACCTTAATTTTTTTTTTTTTTTTTTCGAGACAGGGTGTCATTCTGTCACCCAAGCTGGAGTGCAGTGGTGTGATCAAGACTCACTGCAGCTTTGATCTCCTGGCCTTTTGGGCTCAGGTGATCCTCCCACCTCAGCCTCCCTAACTGCGCCCGGCTAGTATTTTTGTATTTTTAGTAGAGTGGGATTTTGCCATGTTGCCCAGGCTGGTTTCAAACTCCTGAGCTCAAGTGATCCCCTGCCCCTGGCCTCCCAAGGTGCTGGGATTACAGGCGTGAGTCACCGCACCTGGCCAGCTTTACATATTTTTAATCTGTCAGATTTTTTGTTCTTGCTATTCTGAAAAAGTCACTGAAAAGAAATCATTTATCATTCTTTTTACACACAATATAATGCAGTTTTTAAATTAATGAGGTAGGCCAATCATATAAAATTTGGAAGAGTATAAAGTTTTTATTCATAATTAAAATATGTTATTCTGGAGAACAAAAAAAAAGTAGTGGTCTGTCTTCATTTGTAGAATTTCCTTTAAACTGATGGAAACTTACCTCACAGATGAGATTTGTGGACCACTGTAAATACATACTCTACAAATTATGTACCCCACAGCTTTGAGCTGCCAGGCACTATAGCAGAGGGCTTCCTCAGACTCTTGACCCAGTCTTGAAATTTTTAGCTTCCCATATACTAACTGTGTGATCTCAGGCAAGACAGCTTATTTATGCCACAACTGAGACCACAGTAAGGATAATAATAGTATCTACCTTGTGGATTATATGAGGACTGAATGAATTAACACATATCATGTTCTTAGAATAGCGGCTGGCACATGGTGAATAAACATTAGCTATTATTCTAATATGTGGTAAAGTGAGGAACTATGAAGTACTGCATGAAATTTTTGTATTTTTATTGAATTTCATCAATTTTTTTTTTACTGAACCCGGTATGCTTTCTGGTCTGAACACACAAGAAAGCAAAGAAGGATGGCTCCTGTACGTGAAAGTGACCCCTGCATATAGTGCCTGAAATAAGAGGAAGTTTGTCAGTGTGGGCAGACAGCACGAGTAGACCAATCTGACATTCTGCTTCTCTTTTAACCTCTTGACAATTAATGAAAGTTATCCGATAAAGATCCTTACATTAATTGCTTCTGATTAAGGTTTAAAACCTTGGTTTACTGTGGGATAAATTTAGGTTTTTGATAGTCATCCAAAATCTTTGTACCCTTTCAGTTTCATTGCGGAATAAAAAACAAATTTACCACAATGGATTATTACATTACGTCTGGTATTTATTCCTCTCAAGAAGCTATCTGCTTCGGAAAAGGCAGGGGCGCCCTTCATTAATATATCTAGCTGCTGGTGTAATGACGTAAAATTCCTTGTTGACCCCTGCTCTTCAGGGTTATTGTCTTGGAACACAGAATTTGATAATCTCTTTTCACTGCATAATTACAAATGTTAGGCTGTAAAAGTATTTTACGTTGTTCAATCCAGGTTCCAGACATTTTGCCTGCTCACCAGAAGTTCTTTTGATTAATAAGGCTACTGGTCACGAAAACTCAGCTTACTAAAATTAGAGGGGAAGAGATCCAGTTTTCTGGTTCTAACTAAAACATCCCACCGGATGCAGGTGTACTTGCAAATTAGTTTGCCTCATGAGTCCCGTCTCAAGTCATACAGACGGCCCAGGAGGGTGGAGCCCCTGCAACCTGCCTAGCGCGGCGTTTGCGTGTCTGGGGGTGTCGGGACACGCGCAGGACACACACAATCCAACTTTCCTAGTCTCGCTCTCACCTCAAGGCTGTCAACTTTTACGCTCCCCACTGCGCGCACAACCCCCACCTCACGCTGCCACCCCCTCACGCCCCACCTTCAAAGTAGGAGACACCATTGTCATTGGACACTCCTTCTCTCACTCCTATTCCAGAACCAATCACTCGAGTTCTGATGGGGAGCCTCTAAGCCAATGGAAATGCTCGTTGTGGCAGCTGCCGGGTCCTGAGCGCTGGGAGGTGGTGCCGGGGGCGGGGTGCGGCTGGGGCGAATTAGTTGCCATTCGAGTGAGGAGTGGGTAGAAGCGGCGGCGGCGGCGGCGGCGCGGACTCTGAGGAGCGCTAGCACCTCGAGGCCCTTTCTCTCTACCCTGGTCCCCAGAAGCAGGAGTCCCGGCCCTCCCTGCAGCTGCCGGGTTCTCCAGTGCGTACAGCCCCGCGAGGGCTGAGGAGAAGGCTGCGAGTGGCCCTCGGGGCTGCTTAAACCGGGCGGTTGCCCTGTCAGCGCGATGCCTGGAGCGGTGGCTTCGGCGGCGGCTCCAGGCTCCTTGCGGCCCCGGCCGTGACCGCCACGCCGAGCCCAGCCGGGCGGTTGGGGCCGTTGGACGTTTGTTTTCGGAGCCTTCCCCTCCCCCCTCGCCGAGGCGGCGGGGGTGTGCGTTGGGGAGGGGGAGCCCCGAGACTCCTCCCCCACAGCGATACCCCTGCCCCTCCCCCTTACACACTCGCACGCACTATCGCGCCGGCTCCCACACGCTCGCGCGCCTCCCGCCCCGCGCCTCCGTGTCGGCCGGCGGCGTCCAGGGCCCGCAGAGCCACCATGTCCACTGCCTCCTCATCCTCCTCCAGTTCCTCTCAGACCCCTCATCCCCCGCCGCAGAGGATGAGGCGCAGCGCCGCGGGGTCCCCGCCCGCCGTCGCCGCAGCCGGGAGCGGGAACGGTGCGGGCGGCGGCGGCGGCGGCGTGAGCTGCGCCCCGGCTGCGGGAGCTGGCCGGCTGCTGCAGCCCATCCGCGCCACGGTGCCCTACCAGCTCCTGCGGGGCAGCCAGCACAGTCCCACGCGCCCGCCCGCCGCCGCTGCTGCCGCCTCGCTGGGCAGCCTTCCGGGGCCCGGCGCGGCCCGCGGCCCCAGCCCGTCCAGCCCGACGCCGCCGCCGGCCGCAGCCCCGGCCGAGCAGGCGCCGCGGGCCAAGGGCCGCCCGAGACGGTCCCCAGAGAGCCACCGGAGGAGCAGCTCACCTGAGAGACGGAGCCCCGGCTCGCCCGTGTACAGAGGTAGCGAGCCCAACCCTCCCGTCCTCCCGGGCTGCGTCTCCCCGACGGTGCCCTCCGTGGAAACTTCAGCCTCTTCGGGCTTCTCTTTGCTAGTGCATTATCGAAGGTGTGAAAGTGGCTTTGGGAATCTCACCCCCCTGCGGTCGCTGCGGGGCTTGGAGGAGCGAACTGAAAAGCAACTTTTATTTGACCCTCGTGCCGCCCCTCAGATTTTCTCTTGCATCACTCGCCTGCTTCGAGAGGTTTTTCAGTTTAAGAGCTGGCTAGCTCATTCGTGTGTTTGCTGTTTGTAGCCGGGGAAAGAGGAGCTGGGCGAAACACTTAAACATGCACACAAACTCTTCAGCAGCGGATAAGGTGGTGGTTGTAATCTCTACAGTCTCTTTGTGTTTTCCTGCAAAGTTCCTAACGTGCCTATAACTACCGGGATAATTTTTTTATTTTTTAGAGGGATGGTGGCATTAGTTATGATGTAAGGATATCGGCTGGATGTAATGATATCTGCTAGAGGGGACAGTTTTGAATGTGCAATTGAAGTGTATACGGTTTTTTCCCTCAGTTCTCCCTCCCTCTCTCTCCCTCCCTCCCTCTCTCCCCTCCTCCACCCCCTTCTCCCTCTCTCTCTTCCCCTCCCCTTTATATATTCATGCATCAGAGCACTCCTGCACTGGAAACAGTTTATGCTCAACTGGAGATTTTCATGGTAAATTTCTGAAAACTTATTTGTGGAACGTGTTCGCTTTTCCTTCCATTTTTAAGTACACTTAACAGTCCAGTTGAGCTGTTGAAGGATCTCAAGTTTCTTTTTTGTTAGATGTCAAAGGTAATGGTGAGCTGGTGGATGCTGTGGGTTTCCCTTAGTGTTTTCTGTTTTGCTTTGGTTTTGTTTATGTCTAGGGACACAGTGCATGATCTAGTTGAGCCCTGGGGGAGAAAAGGAAGATTAGCCAAAACAGAGACTTAAAGCTCATAAGAGAGAGTGGAATAGCTAATATTATTAGATACCAGCCTAGAGCTACAGATGCTGCTGCTGCATTGTGGAGGGAACAGATCATGCTGGGTGGAAAAATCTCTGCTTGGAAGGGAAACACTGTCAAAGTCTGTACATTGTTTTTGTGGTATGTGGAATTTTTTTTTTTTTAATGGAGTTTTCTGAAGGTGTTAGAGTTGGAGAAAGTGGTTGTCTGCGTTATGATACATTGCAGTCTTGGTGTTTTTGTTTTAATATTTCAGACCTGTAATTAGCATGTTGCTAACGTACTTGTTTTCTGACCACTTGATGTTGAACCAGTGTAGGATGTAGTGCAGTGGGATGAGTACATGAGCACCAAGAAATACATCCTGTAATCTGTATGCACTGGGAGGAATATGCTCCTCCACTCCTCCCCCAGGTCAAGCCAGCTGCTGCAGAAACTGACATCCTCCAGCAAATCCTGAATGAATGAATGAAAACAACGTGATCGCCCTAATAATGACCACAACTGAACACACATCTTTGACTGTATTTTGTAGAAAAGGCCACCATTTTCTAACAGATTAATGCCATATGCAACTCTTGCACATTTTCTAGAACTGTATGAAATGAGAAATAAGAGAATGAACAGAAAACAGTTACATAAATTTTTTAGTGATTTTGCTTCAACAGTGCACAAATTGAGTTTTGGGATTTTCTTTTTGGGACTAAGAGGCATAAAATAAGCATTGCAGATTGTAGGTCTTGTGGATGTGAGTAAGAGAAGTTTCAGCAATTGCTGCAACAACATAATGGTCATCTAGTACCCTCCTCCCCTTTTGTATATAAACACTAACATCTTACAACAGATAATAGTACAACTTGTTTTTCTGCATCCTTCAAAAGGTTTAATTGCTTAGGAATTACATGCTCCATCATCAAGCAGTTTTAATGAAATTTGTGATCTGGCTTAAACTATTCTCTTTGTTGTAGTATGGCACATCCGAGTTTAATGCGATTTTAATGCAATCATGATGAAAACACTTTTCTGAGTCTGGTTGTGCAGCAGACAGATTTGCAGTGTCAGAGAGCTTGTGTTGGGAATGCAAGGGCTTTCTTTGCTAGAGATGTTTTTCTACTGTTTTAAACACCAGGTGGTTTTGTCAGTTTTTTACATTGAAGTGATTTTTGAATGCGGGCTTCTGTACCCCCAGTTCCGTGATTATATTACTCCTATGTTACTTCTCCATGTCCCGCCTTTTACCCCCACTACCCAAATTAAAACTGTCCTACTAATCTGTTTCCTTAGCCATTTAAAATCCTTGATCTGAACAGTTGATTTAATTTTTAGAATGATTGTCTTCTCACTTTCTTTTGAATGCTTTAAGGTTCTGATTTGAGTGGATTTTAGCCTCCACTGGTCAAGGCTCCTGCCGCTGCCACTGCTGCTGCAGACACTGACATCACTATACTGCATGAATGAAAAACAACAACGTGCTCCATTTCTTCCTCTGCTCTCCACCTCCTCCTTTTTCTGCACACTTCAGTGTATGTGGGGGTGTGTGTGTGCACGCAAGAGGGTGTTAAAACTGCGTTTGAAACTACATTTTAAAACATTAAGTAGTTGATGGCTCAAGGGGTGGGTATATAGTATAAAGGCATATTGTTTATGAAAAACTGCAAGTGCTGTGGGCATTTGGACTAAAGGTGACATAACTGAGCATTCAGTATTTCATGCATTTCATCTGGAGTGATGATTATAGGAGAAAATAGGGAAGCTTAAATTTTTTTTGTGATTCTTTTACCAAAAAATTATGAAACAACACAATTTCTAAATACATTATGTCATTATCTGTGTCTTAAGCATTCTTAATGTGAATATTTGTAGGGCTGAGGCTAGAGTAACAGAGAATTGATATCAGATTGTTTCACAAGGCTGAGGAAAAGCTGAATTCTATAAATAGGAATAGTCAATTTTAATATTATTATATTAATTTATACAACCCAGGAAAAAATGGTAATTTCCTTTATTTTTGTAGCATAGTTTTAAATAATTTAAATGGTTACCATAATAGAAATACATAAATTGCCAAACACCTTGCTGTGTATATAGAGGACATGGAGTTTTACAAATTGAAACTGTTTTGTTTGTGCTCATGGATCATCCTCTTTTTGCTTGTTTTCTTTTTTTCTTTTGTATTTTTAAAACTTCAAAGTTTGTTATTTACATTCATTTCTGTACTTTTGCCATTAGTAAAATGTCATCCTCCCTCTTGTTTGGTTCTGAAGGGTCTTGCAGTGGTGAATGACAGGCTGCTGAATGAATCCTCAGGCTCCCTGTGATGTGTTTGTAATAGATGTAAAATCATAAAGTATTATGCAAATAGTTTTTTTTTTGTAATGGTAATACATAAAGTCTACCTTTGAGATAAATAGAGCAACTCAAATGAGAAAAAGCAGGATGTTAGTGTTAAAATTAATGATCTTTAAGCTAAAATCATTAGTAACAACCAAAGGAAAATATAATGAAGTTGCTTCTTTTTGAAACCTCACAGAGCAGAACCCATGGATTTAAACATAGAACAAATATAGTTTTACTGTCCAAGATAGTAAGTAGGAAATGCAAATCTTTGTGTGTGTGTGTTTTGTAAAGATAGAGCATTAGGATGAATTATAAGTTCTAAAAGATGTAATAACAGTCATATTTAGAGTACTCTGGATGGAGAATACAGCTTATTTTTAAGTGTACCAAATCTAATAAAAACATGGAAGAGCCTGTAATTTATATAACTCCTGTTATGAAAAATGGCATGTGTTGGTTCCTGATTTAACATATCAGGTTTATTTAGGCCTAATACGCTACCAGATTGCTAACTCTAGAGTGAAATTTAATTAGACTTTTTCATGAGCATCTTGAGAGCCACATTGTTTTATACATAAAGAAGTTATGATTCTATTCTAAGAGATAATACAAATCTAATGTTAACCGCATGTAATATGTTTGCCTGTTAATTCTTTTGCTTTCAGTTTTTATCTTTTCCTTAAATTTATCTTTTTAAGTCATTTTTATACTGTTCTCAGTGGAATACAAAACATTTTAATAATTTTTTCTCTTTTAAAAGAGATACTCAGATATTCTCTTTCTATAAAGTTTATTCTCAGGCTGATATTCTTGGAAATTAAGATCCTCCCTTTCCATTTTAAAATTAATTAATTTTCCTAGAGTGCTTATAGAAACTTGTTTCAAAGCTTTCTTCTACTAGAGTGAAAATACCTTAACGTTTTAGCTTTTTCTAAATAAACAGGTTTCACATACTGACTTTTGGGAAAGGTTTTCATTCTCAGAAAACTATACTAGAGAGCAGCGGTGTTCATTATTTACAGAACTAATTTTTTCCTTCAGTTATCTCATGGTGCCTAAAATTTCTAGATCAATGAGTGAATAGCAAAATAGATAAATGAATTTATAGTTATTTAATCAAAATCTGTCTTATGTTCAAAGATTATATTCCTCTCAAATAACTGTTATTCTAACTGTATTGAATATTGAACACCTAGCATGTGTGAATCACCTTAATGAGTTTTTAATTGTATGTAAAGTTCTGTGTGTATATATTGAACTGGAAATCATTTTATTAATTACAGTACTTTTTACTGAAGAACTGCATTGTACATTTCTGCAAGGACTTAATGCAAATTAGCATTTGTACTTTGGGGAAATGTTGAAGGATAATGGCATCCTTGTGATTTTTGTTTTACTTGTGATAAGTCAGACTACATGTGAATAAGAAAATAAAGGAGTAACTGGGCTCCACAGCAGTGAATAGAATGGAAATAAATGACAGTGTTCAACAAATGGCTAGTCGGAGAGGGTTTTCCTTTGTCTGAAATTTTAAAAAATTCTAGAAGTCTGTTTTGTTAAAACATTCACAGGTAGTTAATAATCCGCTAAAGAGTATATTCTAATGACTTAGTTCTTCTTAATTTTAGTTTGGTCTTTTCTCCAGAACTTAACATTTCCAGACACCACCAAGATAGACTTTTCGGCAGCCCCTGTCCTAGTCTGTGTCTGACACTGTTTTTTGTCTTCAGTATATAATTTATTCTTTTATTAAGTGTCTGAGAAGCTAAATCACTGACACTCTTTTTGTGCTACATACTGTTTAATTATTTTAACAAGAGGTTGAATTTATGTAACTTCTGGTCTCTGCCAAAAGTAAGTGGAGGAAAGAGAATACAAGTACTCATATATTGATATAGAAAGCCTAGGGGACTGATGGAAGAGCAGATACTACCTGTGTTTCCCGCTACTCTTCATCTGGACCCTTGAAAGTGACCATAAGTTGACTCATCATGTAGCTATTCTAGAAGAATTTTTGTGCTTATTCTGAAAAACAAATTATAATGGATTAGCAATAATTCTGAAAAGTCTAAGGATTTTACTTATATTATGAACAAATTGTGGAAAAGTATTTCACTGTAGCATGAACAAACATGGCAGATACCTTTAAGCAGTGTTGTTTATTCCAAGTGAATGTTACTGAGGCACATACCAAGAGGCAAGTTCATGAATACCTCAGTGACTTCACCTATACTATGCTGTGTCTCTAGTTGTAGGTAGGAAGGAAGAAAACATGTATTTGTGTGCCAACTATATACTAAGCAATGTATACTTTGATTCAGCAAGGATTTAGGATGTGGATCTTCTCATTCCAGATCCAGTGTTCGTTCCATAAAACTATCCTGATGCTCCTAACTAAAAAAGACTCTGATGTTGATGATCAGCTGTGATTTCTGAGCTAAAAGAATGACAAAGGAATTGGTTTTCTTTTGTTTCCATGGCACTATTACGCTGTGCTGGGATATGATCTGACATTTTCAGAATGTCTAAAAATGTGAGACCTAGTTTGTTGAATGTAACTAAAATAAAATATAGATGGATTGGCCATTTTTCTCCATTTCTTTCTTGCATAAAGAGAGAGAGGCAGAGAGAATGTGTGTGTGTGTGAGAGAGAAATTCTTGTTCCTGAGAGAGACAGACAGAGAGAAATTCTTGATTCTGAAGATAGGAACATGATTGTATCTGGCCTTTCTTACATATAATCAGAATCTGTACTGTCCTCGAATCACTTTATAGTGGATATAAGTGCTTTTCTCCCCTTTTCTCTCTTCATAAATGTTAAAAGTTAATTACATATGGTGCTAAACTGATGAAAGCTTCAGGATTCACTAAACAGAGACTGGTCTCAGGTGATTGTCCCAGCAACTGGCACTAGGTTGATTCAGCCCTCCCAAAAGACAGCAGGCTTCCAAGAGCCTGTAATTTGTGGGTTGAACTGTGTACATATAGAACTTAATGAAGTTCACCATAGTACACCTTAATGATGGCTCACCAAAAATAATGATAATTTAAAGAAGCTAGTGGGCCAGGTGCAGTGTCTCATGCCTGTAATCCCAGCTCTTTGGGAGGCTGTGGTGGGCAGATCACTTGAGGTCAGGAGTTCGAGACCAGCCTGGCCAACATGGTGAAACTCTGTCTCTACTAAAAATACAGAAATTAACTGGGCATGGTGGTGCGCCCCTATAATCCCAGCTACTTGGGAGGCTGAGACACGAAAGTCGCTTGAACCTGGGAAGTGGAGGTTGCAGTGAGCCAAGATCACGCCATTGCACTCCAGCTTGGGCAACAGGAGCGAAACTATCTCAAAAAAAAAAAAAAGAAAAGAAAAGAAAAGAAACGAAATGAAACTAGTAACCCATGGTTGTGTGGCAAGGTCAGTGTCCAAAATTGTCTACCAGGTTATTAGAATTGTTAAGAAATCCTGCCGGGCATGGTGGTTCACACCTGTAATCCCAGCACTTTGGGAAGTTGAGGCAGGCAGATGGCTTGAGTTCAGGATTTCAAGACCAACCTGAGCAACATAACAAGACCTTGCCTCTACACTAAATACAAAAGTTAGTGTGGGCATGGTGGCACACTCCTGTAGTCCAGCTACTCAGGAGGCTGAGACAGGAGGATCACTTGAGCCCAGGAGGCAGAGGTTACAGTGAGCTGAAATCACCTCACTGCACTCCAGCCTGGGTACTAGAATGGGGTGCTGTCTCAAAAAAAAAAAAAAAAAAAAAGTTAAGAAATCCACCAACCATCTAGATGTGTTTCATAATGAAAAGGCAAAAACTGCTACAACTTCCTGTCTAGTGTTACTGAAGATCAAATACTTATTAACTACTGACAGTAATAATTCCTTATTTATTCTGTATGGCCATAAAGAAAACTTTTGTGAATAGTTTCATGTAGCTAATTTTAACTTTTACATTACTAAAAAATTAACTTTCTGATGAAACATTTTCTAACATTATTACACACTTGATTGTAAAGCACAGTGAACAAGACATAAAGGAACTCCTTGTGGCTTGATTAGCTTCATTAATAACTATTATTGATAACTTATATACATAAAAATGATTACTATAGATGATAATGAGAATAAGACTGAATGAGTATTGACTGACTAGAGTTGCACTATAACTGATTCTATAAATTTGCTTTTGGGATTATTTGCTGTTTTTCTGATGAAGGTGGAGCAAAGCATGTTTGACTGGACTAGTCCTAGGTGGTATAACCTGGCTGTTTTCTCTAGAACTAATTATCAAATGAAAGACCAGAGCAATTATTTTCCAAATGGTTCCATAGATATATCTTAGACACATAAATGTATCCTGAGAAATACTAGGTTTGGAGTCAAGAAACTTGAGTTATCTTTTCAGTTTTGACATTTGATTTATATGATAAGCCACTAACTCTGCATCTTATCTTCTGTGTCTTTAAAATGAAGGGAATAGGCTTTTTAAGATTTTGGTTGGGTAGGGAAAAGATTCTGCTATTGAAAAGAAAAAGTTTATTAGGCTAGATGAGTCTTAAAGTTTTTATTTATTGAGCTTTTATGCCAACTACTAATCTTTGGTAGAATCCAATATAAGGTACTTTTATTAACCTCTTTTCACAGATGAGGAAACGAGGTCCTGGGAAGTTAAGTAATTTGCCCAAGATGAGGCAGCATGCACAGGGCTCTTGTAATGCTCTAAGTCCTGACTTCAAGATAGCTGAAAGTTGTTGTTGGAACCCAGTTAGTTATGGGGCAGGAAAGTATGCACAATGTATTATCCCACTGCTTATACAGTTAAGTCATAGAAAGGCTAAATATAGCTTTGGGGCGGTGACGGAAGAAGAGAAAGCTAAATGGGACTAGACCCTAGTGTGCATGGAACTTAAAATAGCTGCAAATATCCCCAGTAAGTATGCCATCATTGGGCCTTCCCTTTGGTCCCTAAAGGACCTATCACTTTGTTTAGACAGAATTTAGCATTTGATTTTTAAAAACTTCCGTTCACTTGACATTTCAAAATCTGAGTAGAATAAGGTCTCCTTTTTGTATATTCATATTTGGCAGTGTAAACTTTTAAAAATCTACCCATTTATAATGTAGTATATGGCTACCTTCAGCCCCATCATTATGATTCTCTACATTTATCATCCTTTGATATTTTAGCAATATTCAACATAGTATCTTTTTATACAACACTGTCATGGCAAAGCAAGGCACACTACCTTAAAAAGTTTTGTTTATATCTACTTGGCCGTTTCACTTCTTTTAGGTTTGTTGATATAATATAGAAAAGAAATTTTAGTCTCTATGTTCATAATTTCTTCCAGGGTGTTTTGGCATTTTTTTCAATGTTATTTGTGCTTTCTGTAAGTTCTGCATAGTAGTTAATGTGGAAATGATTTTCTTTTATAAGTAATATTAGAAATTGTATTTGTTGTTAGGAGATTAAAAGTATTATATAGAGTCTTTGTGATGGATAAAGTTTCTCATAACATTTCTTCTGTAATTATATTTACTTTTCTAGTTAATTATATCAGTTATACATTGAATTAGTGAAGTGTAATGCTGGTATCTTAGAAGATAATAAAAACAGGACTCAGTGGCTCAGGGTTACATCAAGTCTAGCCATATGGAAACTTTACTATTCCTCATACAAACTTGTGAAGTGATCTTTCCATGAAGGCACAAAAATACCATAGTAAAATATAGATTGGTTTATATATTAGCTCATTATAAACAAAATATATTTATAATATCTTTTGAAGTTCCGTAAGTGCAATTTTATTTCTTCTAAAGTATTCTTGGAGTTACTCCGACACTTTGCCCCTAAAAGAATCAATCAACTGTCCTCTTTCTGCTTTAAGTCAGATCATTTAAGTATCTAGGACTTAACTAAACTGGTGTTGGCAAACATTGCTAAATGCAGTTTCATTAGTATTGCAGAAGTGAGGATTTAGACTGTGCTCAGAAATTAGATTCTTGAAAAAAGCTACAGTGTTCTGCAATATTTTGATCATATAGCTTAAAAAGTATATATTAAAGGTTTATTAATACTTTACATGCCAGAGTGCCCTCTTTAAAAAAAGAAAGAAACACATTCAGGGAATTGCATTTGCTCACTTTTTATCTTTTTGGGTAACAAAAAGTGGGTCAAATTCTTAGCTGATTTTCCTTGTTCAGAAATATACTATTATCCTTGTTCAGAAATACACTATTCTCACTGAACTTTCAATTTTATATATGAATTGTTTATTTTTAAGTTAGCTTGAGCTTTTTCTGGTGTTCTGTTTTGAAGTTGCCACTCTGTTTATTTGTGGCATTAGATGAAACTTAAAATATTTATCTTTCTTTCATTTGATGAAGCTTAAAATATTAATCATTTCATTCTATGGTTTCCATAACATGCTTAGATCTAATGTATCTTGCTGCCTGTACATATTATAATATTATACTATAGTTTGGCCTTGGATGATGTCACTGGCCCTTTCTTTCTCTGCACACATATACATTAGTGCAGAAGTCTGAACTGTATTGTTGGATGTGGCTTCTTGTGTAGTAATGTAGTAATATGTAGTAATAATGTTGTGTAGTAATCTTGGGCAGTGATGCCTTGTGAGGCTGTTGAGATAAGGAGGACTTGACTTTGGCTAAATATCTGCTATTGCTGAGCTAGAATGGGAAGTGACAAACTTTTCATGTGTTGTGTCACCATTTACCTGAAACCTTGGTTGTTGAATGCACAGTGACCCATTTTTCTTTCTTTTCTTCTTTCTTTTTCTTTCTGTCTGTCTTTCTGGCAGTGTCTCTCTGTGTTGCCCAGGCTGGAGCACAGTGGCACGATCTTGGCTCACTGCAACCTCTGCCTCCTGGGTTCAAGTGATTCTTCTGCCTCAGCCTCCCAAATAGCTGGAACCACAGGAGTGTGTTACCACACCTGGCTAATTTTTTTGCATTTTTAGTAGAGACGGGCTTTCGAACTCCTGGCCTCAAGTGATCCGCCTGCCTCGGCCTCTCAAAATGCTGGGATTACAGGTGTGAGCCACTGGGTCTGGCCCTATTTTTCTTTCTTATAATCAGACTTTACCTATTTTCAGTTTCTATTGACTTTTTGTTTTTGCCTTAAATATTAGCAACCTCCCCAGGGTTTATAGCCAAGGAGGAGTGGGTGCCATGGTGGTTCTACTGGAGACTACTTTGAGCAATGTGGTTGTTGATTTGTACACTGAGCAGCAGCCTAGCAACTGTGAACTTTTTGAGAGCAGGTACCACGGTTTAAGGACATTTGTGATGGCAGTGCCAAGCATCTAGAAGGTACTCGCCTGCTTTAATTTTTTGAGATTGTACAAAATAAAATATTACAATTATTGCCTTATTCACAGTGTACAAAAGGATTTTGTCATACAAACTGTTGATCCTATAGGGACTAGTCATGGAGGAGAGTCTATTTTTGGTCAATTGTATGGTGATCAAGCAAGCTTTTTTGAGACAGAAAACGTCCCAAGAGTTAAACACAAGAAGAAAGGCACAATGTCCTTGGTGAATAATGGCAGTGATCAACAGGGATCTCAGTTTCTTATCACTACAGAAGAAAATCTAGATTACCTTGATGGTACTATACAGTATTTGGTGAGGTGACAGAAGGCATTGACACAATTAAGAAAATTAATGAGACTTTTGTTGACAAGGACTTTGTACCATATCAGGATATCAGGATAAATTATACAGTGATTTTAGATGATCCGTTTTGATGGCATTCCTCATTTATTAATCCCTGATCTATCACCAGAACCTACAAGGGAACAATTAAAGAGTGGTAGAATTGATGCAGATGAAGAAATTGATCATTTCAAAGGAAGGTCAGCTGAAGAAATAGAAGAAATAAAGGCAGAAAAAGAAGCTAAAACTCAGGCTTTACTTTTAGAATGGTAGGAGACCTACCTGATGCAGATATTAAACCTACAGAAAAATCTGCTGTGTTTGTAAATTGAATCCAGTGACTACAGATGAAGATCTGGATATAATACTCTCTAGATTTGGGCCAATAAGAGGTTGTGAAGTTATCTGGGACTGGAAGACAGGAGAAACCCTCTGTGATGCTTTTCTTTTTCTTTCTTTCTGTCTTGTCTTGTCTTTTTCTTTTCTTTTCTTTTTTCTTTCTTTTGAGATGGAGTCTCACTCTGTTGCCTAAGCTGGAGTACAGTGTCGTGATCTTGGCTCACTGCAGCCTCTACCTCCTGGGTTCAAGTGATTCTCCCCACCTAGCCTCCCGAGTAGCTGGGACTACAGGCGTGCACCACCACACCGGGCTAATTTTTGTATTTTTAGTAGTGACAAGGTTTTGCCATGTTGGCCAGGCTGGTCTTGAACTCCTGACCTCAGGTAATTCACCTGCCTCAGCCTCCCAAAGTGCTGGGATTACAGATGTATGCTTTTATTGAATTTGAAAAGGAAGAAGACTGTGAGAAAGCCTTCTTAAAAATGGACAGTGTACTTATAGATGACAGAAGAAAACATGGATTTTAGCCAGTCTGCTACAAAGGTTAAATGGAAGGAAAAGGTGAGAAGTACAACAAGAGTGATTTAAAGGAGTGTAAAAAGGAACAGGATAAACCATCTAATTTGGTTCTGAAAGATAAAGCCCAAACAGGAGGCAAAATATGCTGTTGTATTAGATGAGCAGGCAGAAGACTCAAAGTCAAGTCACTCACTTACAAGTAAAAAACACAAGAAGAAAACCCATCACTGCTCTGAAGAAAAAGAAGATGAAGACTGCATACCTATCAAAAATACTAATCCAGATAATTATAGAGAAAGTTTGGAGTTTGGTCACTATGAAGAAGAAGAAAGCTGTTGGGAGAAATGAAAGAGTAAAAAGAGAGACTGAACTCAGAACCGAAGTCGTAGCTGATCTCGAGAGAGGAATGGCCATTATAATAATAGTCACAAATCCAAATACCAGACATCTTTACGAAAGAGAAAGGAGGAAAAAGGGACTGAGGCAGAAGTCCAAAGAAATCCAAAGATAAAGAAAAATCTAAGTACAGATGAAAGATGAAGAGGCAGAATTGAGTGGCTAACATATTCACCCTTGTCTAACTTAGAGTGCCAGGAAAGCAGATGTTCAGATTTTGTGTCAAAGCTTGTCATTTTTTTTCATACTGGGATTATCGCCCTTTAAATTATTAATACTGATTATATAGGGCACTGAAGGAACTCAGCGTTTTCTTTGTATACTTTTTTACAATAATTTTATTGTTATACATAAATGGTAGTCTTCATTTTTGAAGTCTTTCACATTTTTACTGTTTTTTTTAAAAAATGAAGTATTATGTACTGCCAAAATATATAAACATGTACTTATAAGGCAAAGGGATAACAAATACGAATATCTGTGTACTCATCAGCCAGCTTAAGATCTAGAATATTGCCTACACTTTAGACGTCCCATAAGAACCCTGTCCCTCTCAAGTAATTATTTGGAAATTTGTGTTGATCATTTGCTTTGTACATAGGTATCTCTTTGTATGTTTCTCAGTTTTGTATAGATGGCATAATGTTTACTTTTGTGGCTTTCATTTTTATTGCTGTATAGTATTACATGAATGCTTCTGTTGATGGACATTTGAGTTTTATTTATTTTTGTTTTGGCTGTTGAAACAATGCTGCTGTGAACATTGTCTATGTAGGAGTTACAGTGCTTGATCATGTGCTGAGTATCTTCATTTGTATAAAATAATGTCAAATTATAAAAAATATTAGACTTATAGCCTTTAATTACTATTCAGTTATGTTAGCTAATCTTTAGGACACTTACCCTGTTGTACTTTGTATTAAATGTGTGGTCAAAAAATAATGTGTTTATGCAGATATTCCTGTTCAATGAAATACATGTTGTAGTTAACTTCTTGGTAAAGCAAACAATGTTAAATGAATCATATTTTGTGACTTTTCTTTTTTATGGGCATATGGAACACTGAAGAAAATCTTATGGCCTCTGACTATAATGATGTAAGAAACCATATAAAATTGTATGTAGGAATTTTAGGAAATAGGGATGTTTAGGAAAAGTAATGAAATTAATTATAATTAATACTTGTTTTGTTAATCTTAAAATATTCTTTTTTGTTTTTAAAATACTTTATTGCTATAAAATGCTAACAATCGTTTAAACCTTCAGTGAATTGTAATTTTTTTATTATACTTTATGTTCTAGGGTACATGTGCACAACGTGCAGGTTTGTTACATATGTGTACATGTGCCATGTTGGTGTGCTGCACCCATTGACTCATTTATATTAGGTATATCTCCTAATGCTATCCCTCCCCACTGCCCCCACCCCACGACAGACCCCGGTGTGTGATGTTCCCCTTCCTGTGTCCAAGTGTTCTCATTGTTCAATTCCCACCTAGGAGTGAGAACATGCGGTGTTTGGTTTTCTGTCCTTGTGATAGTTTGCTGAGAATGATGGTTTCCAGCTGCATCCATGTGCCTACAAAGGACATGAACTCATCCTTTTTATGACTGCATAGTATTCCATGGTGTATATGTGCCACATTTTCTTAATCCAGTCTATCATTGATGGACATTTGGGTTGATTCCAAGTCTTTGCTATTGTGAATAGTGCCGCAGTAAACATACGTGTGCATGTATCTTTATAGCAGCATGATTTATAATCCTTTGAGTGTATCCCCAGTAATGGGATGGGCTGGGTCAAATGATATTTCTAGTTCTAGATCCTTGAGGAATCGCCACACTGTCTTCCACAATGATTGAACTAGTTTACAGTCCCACCAACAGTGTAAAAGTATTCCTGTTTCTCCACATCCTCTCCAGCACCTGTTGTTTCTTGACTTTTTAATGATCGCCATTCTAACTGGTGTGAGATGGTATCTCATTGTGGTTTTGATTTGCATTTCTCTGATGGCCATTGATGATGAACATTTTTTCATGTGTCTGTTGGCTGTATGAATGTCTTCTTTTGAGAAGTTCTGTTCATATCCTTTGCCCTCTTTTTGATGGGGATGTTTGTTTTTTCTTGTAAATTTGTTTGAGTTCTTTATAGGTTCTGGATATTAGCCCTTTGTCAGATGAGTAGGTAGCAAAAATTTTCTCCCATTGTGTAGGTTGCCTCTTCACTCTGATGGTAACTTCTTTTGCTGTGCAGAAGCTCTTTAGTTTAATTAGATCCCATTTGTCAATTTTGGCTTTTGTTGCCATTGCTTTTGGTGTTTTAGATATGAAGTCCTTGCCCATGCCTATGTCCTGAATGGTATTGCTTAGGTTTTCTTCTAGGGTTTTTATGAGTCTCTAATCCATCTTGAATTAATTTTTGTATAAGGTGTGAGGAAGGGATCCAGTTTTAGCTTTCCACTTATGGCTAGCCAGTTTTTCCAGCACTATTTATTAAATAGGGAATCCTTTGCCCATTTCTTGTTTTTGTCAGGTTTATCAAAGATCAGATGGTTGTAGATGTGTGGTGGTATTTCTGAGGGCTCTATTCTGTTCCATTGGTCTATATCTCTGTTTTGGTACCAGTACTATGCTGTTTTGGCTACTGTAGCCTTGTATAGTTTGAAGTCAGGTAGTGTGATGCCTCCAGCTTTATTCTTTTTGCATAAGCAAAAATTCTTTTGCTTATGCAAAAAGAATAAAGCCATAAGCCAAGATTGTCTTGGCTATACGGGCTCTGTTTTGGTTCTATATGAAATTTAAAGTAGTTTTTTCTAATTCTGTGAAGAGAGTCAATGGTAGCTTGATGGGGATAGCATTGAATCTATACATTACTTTGGGCTAATGGCCATTTTCATGATATTGATTCTTCCTATATATGAGCATGGAATGTTTTTCCATTTGTTTGTGTCCTTTCGTATTTCCTTGAGCAGTGGTTTGTAGTTCTCCTTGAAGAGGTCTTTGACGTCCCTTGTAAGTTGGATTCCTAGATATTTTATTCTCTTTCTAGCAATTGTGAATGGGAGTTCACTCATGAGTTGGCTCTCTGTCAATTATTTGTTTATAGGAATGCTTGTGATTTTTGCACATTGATTTTGTATCCTGAGACTTTGCTGAAGTTGCATATCAGTTTAAGGAGATTTTGGGCTGAGACAATGGGGTTTTCTAAATACACAATCATGTCATCTGCAAACAGGAACAATTTGGCTTCCTCTTTTCCTAATTGAATACCCTGTATTTCTTTCTCCTGCCTGATTGCCCTGGCCAGAACTTCCAACACTATGTTGAATAGGAGTCGTGAGAGAGGGCATCCTGTCTTGTGCCAGTTTTCAAGGGGAATGCTTCCAGTTGTTGCCCATTCAGTATGACATTGGCTGTCGGTTTGTCATAAAAAGCTCTTAGTATTTTGAGATACATCCCATCAATACCAAATTCATTGAGAGTTTTTAGCATGAAGGGCTGTTGAATTTTATCAGAGTCCTTTTCTGCATGTATTAAGATAATCATGTGGTTTTTGTCTTTGGTTCTGTTTATATGCTGGGTTACGTTTACTGATTTGCGTATGTTGAAGCAGCCTTGCATCCCAGGGATGAAGCCCACTTGATCATGGTGGATAAGCTTTTGGATGTGCTGCTGGATTCGGTTTGCCAGTATTTTATTGAGGATTTTTGCATCGATGTTCATCAGGGATATTGGTCTAAAATTCTCTTTTTTTGTTGTGTCTCTGCCAGACTTTGATATCAGGGTGGTGCTGGCCTCATAAAATGAGTTAGGGAGGATTCCCTGTTTTTCTGTTGATTGGAATAGTTTCAGAAGGAATGGTACCAGCTCCTCCTTGTACCTCTGGTAGAATTCGGCTGTGAATCCGTCTGGTCCTGGACTTTTTTGGTTGGTAGGCCATTAATTATTGCCACAATTTCAGAGTCTGTTATTGGTCTATTCAGGGATTCAACTTCTTCCTGGTTTAGTCTTGGGAGGGTGTACGTGTCCAGGAATTTATCCATTTCTTCTAGATTTTCTAGTTTATTTGCGTACAGGTGTTTATAGTATCCTTTGATGGTAGTTTGTATTTCTGTGGGATCAGTGGTGATATCCCCTTTATCATTTTTTATTGCATCTATTTGGTTCTTCTCTCTTTTCTTCTTAGTCTTGCTAGCAGTCTATCAATTTTGTTGATCTTGTCAAAAAACCAACTCCTGGATTCATTGATTTTTTTAAGGGTTTTTTGTGTCTTTATCTCCTTCAGTTCTGCTCTGATCTTAGTTATTTCTTGCCTTCTGCCAGCTTTTGAACATGTTTGCTCTTGCTTCTCTAATTCTTTTAATTGTGATGTTATGGTGTCAATTTTAGCTCTTTCCTGCTTTCTCTTGTGGGCCTTTAGTGCTATAAATTTCCCTCTACACATTGCTTTAAATGTGTCCCAGAGATTCTGGTGTATTGTGTCTTTGCTCTCATTGGTTTCAAAGAACATGTTTCTGCCTTCATTTCGTTATATACCCAGTAGTCATTCAGGAGCAGGTTGTTCAGTTTCCATGTAACTGAGCAGTTGTGAGTGAGTTTCTTAATCCTAAGTTCTAGTTTGATTGCACTGTGTCTGAGAGACAGTTTGTTATAATTTCTGTTCTTTTACATTTGGCTGAGGAGTACTTTACTTCCAACTATGTGGTCAATTTTGGAATAAGTGCGATGTGGCGCTGAGAAGAATGTATAGTCTGTTGATTTGGGGTGGAGAATTCTGTAGATGTCTGTTAGGTCTACTTGGTGCAGAGTTGAGTTCAATTCCTGGATATCCTTATTAACTTTCTGTCTCATTGATCTGTCTAATGTTGACAGTGGGTTGTTAAAGTCTCCCATTATGAAGTCTAGTCTCTAAGGACTTACCAATAATTTAAAAATATTATTCCATTATTGAATTAAGTGCCTCAAAATATAAAATATATAGTGCAGTAGCTGAATCTTTGATTGTTTTGACCCCCTGTATTATTCCATAGGTAATGTAGTGATTCTAGAGGCTTTAATAGTTTAGTTATGATTTTTCATTTATCTTAATGTTTCTATAACTCTGTATTCAAGGTAATTTTGGTGCATATCTGTGCTTCACCAAATAATACCATGTCATTTTTAGTATTCCGGCATCTACCATGGTTTCTGGTGTTTAGAAAGCCAGGCTTGCAGTGAATATTTGTTAAATCCTTACATAGGGTTTATATAGAGATTTCTGTTTAGCTATATATGTTCACATCAGTGATTTGAACCCAGCTACATGAACAATGATTGTCAGGGCATGCAAGTCCTATGAATATCTGACAGAGGTTAAAATTAATAGAGTATATTTGTGTTGTCCATTTTGTAAAAATGCCTAATAATTTAGGTAACTGATGGTTTTTATGTTCATTTAAGGCCTGTTATTCAGTGATGGTAGAGAAACACTGATTTAGACTTTCACACAAAATAGAAGGAGCTGGGTGCTCTTGCTGGTAGAGATAGGTAGGATAAAGATGGGTGATGTCAGCATAGTCCACATTGTAAAAGATAGAAGATAGTTTTCCACAGAGTGAGTTTCTAAGTGACATTTAAAGTTCTATTAAGTGAATTTTGATTTAGTGAGGCTCCATGGAATCAGCTTCTGAATTTTTGTTTGTTTCTTTGAGACAGGGTTTCACTTACCCAGGCTGATTGTGGTGGTGCAGTCATGGCTCACTGCAGCCTCAGCCTCCTGGGCTCCAGCAGTCCTCCCATTTTAGCCTCCTGAGCATCCAGGACCACAGGCGTGTACCACTATGCCTGGCTAATTTTTTAGTGTTTGTAGAGATGGGTCTCCCTATGTTGCCCAGACTGGTCTTGAACTCCTGGGCTCAAGGAATCCTCTCACCTTGGGCTTCCTAACTGCTGGTAATAGAGAGCCACCACTGCTGACCCTGAGTCTGTTATACTTAGAGAAACTAAACCATCCATGCCCAAAATTTGGTGGGCTCTTCAAAT